TAATTATCACGGTTTTTCTTTTGTAATATTTCACTATGTCTGTTTTATAATAGTTGTAAGATAAGAAATCGTCCCGCATTATTTCAAAACATTTCCAAATAACGTCGGATTTTTTACTGACTCGAATGGCGTTCAGCAAAGTATTAGTGGCCGCTACTAATAACATACAAATGTTTAGCCTCTGGTTCAAGTCGTTTGTCCAAGCAATGAGACCGATCACACAGAAAATCACAATTATCACGTTCAATGGTGTGACTAAAATGTGAGCCAATTGATAAATATTGCATCCCCATAACATAGTTGAACCCTCAGAATTAACTGGATTCAAAACTTGATAGAGACCAGTCATTTTTAGCAACCTAACGTTAGTGATAAACGATTTGTCATCGTTTTTGTGATTTGCCATTTCTCGGTGTCTTTTTTTTTATCTAAAAAAAAAAAAACAAATCATAATCTGTTATAGAGTTCATATTTAGGATTAATATTTTATTTCAATTATATCGATTCCTTTTAGTTGTTATTGGTAAAAACTAATAATTTAATTTTTAATGTACAATATAGAAAATATAATAGAACAAAAATAAAAAATCTAAATTCTAATATCATCATATTTTTTAATAAAATAATACATTTTGCGATTGTGTAATACAAAAATAACTGTATTTAAAATTACTATGACTCTTTTTGAGATTCATAGACCGACTGGTAAAATTATCGGTACAGTGGTTAAAATACTTACTAACATAAATAACTTATAACATTATTTTTAAGCCAATAGTAGGTGTATATAAAATCTAGTAAATAATTTCTTATATTAATAGTAGTAGGCAATATGATTTTAAAATCAACTTTAGATGGACAATTACAATTTTGGCTTATATTACCCGAATCGTTATTTTACGTTTTTGTCGCTTTACGGTTCAATTGACATCCTTCTGATGATCTTGTATTACTTCTGACTTCTGTTTAAAACATAACAAAATTCACTTATAAAATGTACATATTATTATACTGTGACGTCGTAAGTTCGTGTATGGGCTTCTGACAAAGCAATGATGCTACTACATTTAAAAACCATCGTTAAACAATGTCCTTTCGGCTTATACAAATTTAGTACACCCGTCTAAGCTTAATTACACGTAATTAATTTTACTGTATTCAAGATATCGTGTGTTTCATTATAATAACCTCATTTATTAAAAAATAAAAACATATCATTAAAGTCTTTTGCGATAAATGTACACCGATGTGTTTCTAAGAACATACCACAAACCCTATTTTTACTATGCTGACCATGAGTGAAACAACTCACTCAATTTCTAAGAACAAAGTAATTACATACAATATTATATATTTATATCTTATACAAATTCAGGACAACTGTATACGATTAATTACAGGTTTACGGTGTTAACGATATTCTGTGCGTTATTCTGTTATCCACATTTGTAAAAAAAACCTATCATTAAGTTCTTTTTCGATTGATTTTACGTACGGTACGTTTTACTAAGAACACGCAACAACCCCTTATTATACTATTAAAAACTGTTTATATATTCGATTGTGTGACACAAAGTGTTAGTAACAATTTTTTTTTTACTTCATCGTTAAGCGTACTAGCAATAATTGAGGTTTTAATGAGACAGCGAACGAGAACACTATTTTAATAATCTCGACTACCAGACAAACCTCCAAAAGTATTGATGGAACGCATATCTTTTAGCACCACGGTGAACTAATTGTATTTTAATCAATGTTTAATTTCTATACATTTTTTTTTAATTTAAATAATTTTTACTGTAATCGTTAAGCAAGCAGCAGCAGCAGGACACTCGCGTTTTTAGTAGGTAAAAACCCTGTGGGCTCCCTTGCCTCTGGTGTAGCGTGTACCTATAATATTTTTTAATGAATTTCTTAATTATTATTGATTAGTTCGAGTTCAAAAATCTCTAAAGTATTGTGTTGGGTGTTAATGAAACTTGAAAATGCAGAAACTCCTACAGGTGGATATATTTTTTTCTATTTTTCTTTTCAATGCTAATTGTTTAACACCCCGCGATATTAGCATATATTATACGATGACATGTCTTGTGATTTTCTCCGTGAATCGGTGTATAGGTAATACAGGTTAAGGACGACGTTGCATAGTAACGAAATCGGAAATAATATTCACAATTAAAATATGATCACTGACAACTCGAGTTGCCCGTTTACATGGTCTACTCGCGGCTGTTGACCATTTGCTGGCCGCAGTCTGTTTTTTAGCATCCTCGGTTAGGTGGATAATTTTCTCGTTTAACCGACCACTATAATATAATAGGGCCGTTGTATATTATTATATTATGTATTGGCAAGCCGTGTCGTCGTTTATCTGAAACAAAACCGCTCGCCTCCACTCGATTGTTGCTGCCCGTTGCCAGTAAGCACCGGCACTGTATCCAATAATGTTGCTGAATAATGCATGGGCACCTGCCGCGAGGAAACATTATACAGCACCGAGTATTCGCCGAAGACGCCAAAATTTAAAAAGCCAACACCGCCGGATCAATATTTCACTTATAAATTTGACTTGCACAAGTGCATCGCAAAGCTGATAAATTGTGGTTGATGTTGTTGTGGTGGCTTCTGCACCGGCACTACAGTGTACATAGTATCCGATTACAGCGGGTTTTTATAACCAGATCAATTCCAACGACGGAGCAGCCACGTCTTCGCATCTCTCAACAATTATGTTATTATAATATTCAACCGACGAGGCACTTTGGCGGTTGTTTATATACTATATAGCAGGCCTTAAATCAATTAAATCCGTCAGAAACGGTATGAACTGTAAATCGTGACCGTTAAACCCCTAGACGATGAACGGGCTTTAAACGTAACTGTCTGAGCGGTTCCAAAAGAGTTCTAGTGTTATCATGCAAACGACGGGTAAACAACACTAAGCGTGATATAATATTTATGTAAACGAAACGGTCGTTATCGGATATTTTGTTGATTATCGATGAAAGAGTGTGATCAAAATGTACTACTACGTTAATCGTTCTACAAGAGAATATAATATTATAATATTTTGTATGTTAACGAAATGAGGATTTGTTAACTATTTTACCGGTTAAAATCTAAACTAACACAATTTTTCAGAAAGGCAAATTTTATAAAACAAATGGTAAATACTAAAATTTAGCAATATTTAATATAAAAATCGTCAATTCGCGAGGTCATTATTATTATGTTTATCGTCTAAATGTGTATACCTCAATTTATATACTGTTTAAAAAATTGCATGTACAAGATGATTCATAAGACACACATTTTCTATTAAAATAATCTCAATTTTGCTGTATTCCTATTTGGAGACATTATAGTTAATTCGTATTTTACAATATTAGACGATTTTCGAAGCTTCATATTTTTCCATAACACTATCAACTTTTGAATCTTAAATAGTAACTTATATTTGTAATTAACTTTTTAAATTGGCGGAAAATGAAGGCATTTATAAGTATTGTGAATAAATTGAAAATCCTCAATTGCCTATTCAAACCTCCAACATACATATTATGTATGTGTATTTTTATTTAATTCAAAATATTGAGAAAACGTTCAATAGTGTGCGGTATTCAATGTAATTGATTTTTTATTTTTCGACGTTTACATAGTAATATTTAAAATTAATATGTCTTAAAAACGTTTGGTTAAATATATCTGAAATAGTAGGTCACTGATCAAAAATATTTATATCTATTTTAATGTTTTATTTTTTTAAATATTTTTCAAAAATAACGTTAAGTTGTTTGTTCGCCAAATATATTACATATTACACAGTTTATATTGTGCAATCTCACTAGGAAATATCTACATTATACAAAATACACAAAAACTTAAACTTCTGAGGGTGCTTTAGCTAGTTTATGCGCTTAATACCGTTGAATTCACCGACTCTAGTACCTATAACATGAGAATAAAACGGTCCATAATGCATTTGCATAGTGTTGTGGGTTTCGGTACGATTTTAGGTATACACTTTGACCCTTGTGTAGTATTTAAAAAAGAATAGTCACTAAAAACAAAACCACAAAGGTGGCTATGCGATAATATTCGGTTATTGTAGAGCTTCTAGTATTATGTACTGTTGTTGTGCCAAAAGTTGAAATTTGAAAAATGTGATGCAACTATATTTTTTATTCGTACTGTAAAATCGATTGGCAACAATTGATAATATATATATAATATATATGATAATAAAAGGCTACGGTTAAATTAAGTTAAGAGAATGTAAAAACACAAGTCGACCTTTTGGCGATAAGCACACTTGTAAACCCATTAGAAGCATGCAAATTAAACTGGACTTTTATTCTGCTCGTTTGTTCACAACGATAAAAGGTATATTTTATTTTCTATCTGTTTAATAGGCACCAAATGACCGCGCAGCGTAGCAATAATAATTACTGTCCTGATAAGCTGGCGTAATCGTTATTTTTAACAATAATTTACAAACATACATAAATTATTAAACATTATTCTACTTATATAGTTTAGTAAATCCAACAAGGACAACAGCAATATTCTAAAAAAGAAAAAAATATTGTGCTGAAACATTTAATTAGTTATATTTTTCCTCATTGTTAAACAAATATCTGGATGTGGTACCTGGCCTTGTCGTTTTAGATGTGTCTTAACTGTCGTTTTTGACACGGTTCGTCCGGCGGAAGACCGAAGCTTTGATCGAGATAGCTGTTGTTTTAATTAGAAACGTTTGGGTTTTGGGAGATTGGGTTTACAAAAAAATCAAGACTAATAATACACCACCTGTTTTTTTTTTAAATTAAAAACAATTCTATCCAGTCTAGTTATTAACGAAAAATGAGTTATGTTTATTTTTTATCTTGTTCTCTTTTTTTTCTGTTTTTTTTCTCAACTTTGAACTTATGACTTGAACATTCGACGTGAGAAATTATTACACCATAAGATTTATATTATTTAAAATACAATATACAAAATAAATTTACAAACACAAGTCAAAACAATATTTATTTTTTACTCATCTTGAGTAAAATATTTGTAAAGATAATAACGTTAGACCAATGTATTATAATAATTTATTATGATATGGGTAATACATGCAAACATATTTTACCATTAACATCTAAGTGGGTTTGTTATATTCGACGGTATTATAGTAACGTCGTGCCAATTATGTATGTTAAACATTATTTCAATACTTAAAACGCACAACGGAAATATTAAAATTTCTTAAGTCGTCCCATAAACATAATGGTTTTACCGCTGGTGATGACAAAAATGAAGGGGTGGTCTGCTAAGAAAACGGCTTTAGGAAATTCAATAGATTTCCTGTGAAAGGACCTCGTGTTGGCAATGAGACCTGAAAATGTGTGATTTTTTTAGACGACACCATTTTTATATCCATATTTTTACAATAATTTTAAATTAAATAGTTCACGCTAGTAGTAACTCTACACATATATCTGTTTTCATACCATCTTCACAGTATCTACCTCTTATTTAATGCAAAATATCACTCACTTCAATTCACATCAACAACCGTTTGGTATATCAAATTATAAGAAAATAAAATATGATATTACCCGTAGCTGCAGCTGCTTCAGTACCTTCAAAGGTAACGTCCACATTTGCTTTGTGTACAACACTGCTGACGTACAATTGGCTTTCCTTGAACGGTCCTATATCGGTTAAATCAGCATTTTCCGAGAACATAGTTGGACAACCCATCTATTTGATGGTAAAAAAAAACAATATTTTATTATCTTTACCAATTGAATAGCTGAAATGTGTACAGACTTTAGACAACGTAGCTTTGAGTTCAGAAGTCTGTTCGATTTTGAATTTTGGCAGAGTAACATCGACATTGTGAAATGTCATATTTTTTTCCAAATCGTGAAGTTGTATTTTCGATAAATTAGACTCTAATTCGGCGAGACCGTCTTTGGCATCGGGCAACAAGATTATCATTTGAAAACTATATCCCTGTAGTTAGACATAAACATTTTTTTTTTTTGAAAATATCACAAAAGTCCCGTAATAACACTTATAGTCACTTAAAGTCATGCATTATTTTCCCATAAGGTGTCCAGATGGGAGAAAGGATTAAGAATGTAACCTACTGTGCTTTTCTTGGAGATTCTTGGATTAGGCATTGGTCATAACTGTTTAGAGATATCTCAGCATTCCCGGTGTTTTAGTTTCATAGCAAACAGTACAGAAATCTCAAGTTACATACAATAGCGAACAAAAATTGTATTTAACACCTTGCAAACTGTTTTATCTTGTTCTGGGACAAATATCGTGGTATAGGTAGGACCACGTCAATTGCATGATTTTGTATATGGGTTAATAGCTATTTTAGATGATAGATTTCGTACATGTTCATTGTAACCAACTCAAATCTAACCTGGTAAGGCAGCGCCAGCGCAGAGAAATGTAGACCGGCGTCTTTGTAGTATCTTAAATTGTGCACCAAGCGCATCGTCGTCACGTTGACCTTGTCGGTTAGAGTCTGATAAAATGGTAGTTCTGCGGATGAATTTACCGGAAACTTAGTAGTCCAAGTACCATGGAAATACATCGCATTGCCCAGCACCAACCGAGTGTCCATATTGATGCTTCCTGCGTTCGAAAATGGCATTGAACATTTTTATTTATGTACAATGTATATTTTGTTCCTACACCGTTAAAAAAATAAAGCAACGCAATAAGAAATACCTTCAGGGAAGAGTTCGGCGATTTTCCCATTCGTGTGCGAACGGAACCAGTCGTTTATATGACTTCTCCCCGCGTTGGGATCGGTTTGAAAGTTCAACTTCTCCACAGACGACTGGAGGTAGTTTTTGGCCGTCTCCACATAACTGGCGTTCAAGTTAATTGCGTTTTCTACAAACATACCAGTCGCCAACGTGAAAGATTCGGATCCCTAAAAGAAAAAAAAATTATATAATTTGCCAATGGTTGACGACGAGCCGTCAATGGGATACCTCATAAAATGACAATAGATCTTTGTACAGGGGAAGTAATTCGGACTTCCTCGGGGGTAAGCGTATCGTGTTGGTGATCTCCTCATAGGTTTTTCCCTTAGCTCCTATACTGGTTAGGAACAACACCAGTTGTATGCTTAACGGCGAGTAGAAAATGTTTCCATCGTTCTTACGGAATTCCTTTAGAAAAATATAAAGAAATAATAGTGTTTGCGATGAGCTAGGTACGTTTTTGGAACAAATCATAGAGGTTTCATTGTATTATGAAAAAAATCAACAACACTTGTACTACACAAGAAAACGCACAATCAAATTCTTCAAATTTTAAACTATATTTTTATCGTACAAATTTGAGGATTTTTCTAATTTGGTTTTTTAATTTTGGTCCTAACAATTTTATATATTCAAACCACTGAATTTCACATCAAATGCGTTGCTACAAATAAATCGAACAGTGTAAGTGCTGATATCTGTTTAACATACTTGGACAGACACTTACTGTGTACAGCGAAGATGAGAAGTCGTTAATGGCAGAATTTAACGAGTGAATGCCCAGTTCAGCGGTGCTCGCCAACGCCATAGTTGTACTTTGATGATTCAGTCGTTTGTACACCGCTGCCAACGCTAGACTAATCGACCGACCAATGCCGGATTCATTATTATTTTTATTTGTAGCTACTTATCGATTGACCTATATGTATAGGTATTATTTTTTTCTACTTTATGGTAATTTTTTTAAAGTAAACAGCTCCTATATACAAGACCTATTGCAATAATATTATGACCATTAGCGTTATTGAACTATGTTCGAAAACAGTTTATTCAAAAACGAATTAGTTGTACATAATATAGTATAATATCATTATGCTTATTGCATAATAACTACATACGACATTATTATCTAGTGTTAATTAGGCAAATTCGATATGGTTAAATAGCGTTCGGTGTTATAATAAAGTACGTTGAGTACACACAGTAATATAAGGTCGTCCAAGGCCACCAGCAGGATGAAATACCACACCAGCCAAAACGAATAATTATAATTAATTTATGGCAACCTATATAGTAAATCATAACGCCCCATCTTCTAACGCAAAATGAACAATGTTTAAAGATAATAAATCAATATAGATAGTACAAGTACCAGGTAGTTTTCCGTTCAAAATTTACTTATGTTTATTTGGCTAAAGAACGAATATATTTGACAAATTGCATTTATTCTAATTATTATATTAGGCTAGGATAAAAACCGTGATATCCTATTATATTTTTGGTTATACGATTTAAGTAGATAACTACAAAAAGACTAGATTTATACATTGTAATTATATCCTCTTTGCTCGTTAACGCAAATAATAATAGGTTACTCAATAATAATAGTTCTATGAATGTATCGAAACTTTCACGTGTTGAAAATCATCCACGTAGTAATAATTCTTTTTAAAGTAAAATTAATTGAACAACCAAAGAAGTCGGCCCCTGTCAGTACAAAAGTGAAAGGTATGCAACGAGCAAAAATTGCCAGTTGCAAATTCAAAATTGTACGTTTTACAGTGCACTTATAGAAAATATTGACAAAACACCACAGCGGTAAGTAACCGATGTTGTTCGTAACGATAAACAAATAAAACAAAAAAGGTTTAGTCATTGAATACATGTGTACTTGTACTGTGTTTATATTTTGTACTAATAGTATGTAAACAAAAATAATTGCGTCGAACAAATATATAAAGTGCCCACTGAGTGTCCTTTAATTTTTAATTTATTTGACAGTGCACAAAGTATTAAGTACAGTGTCAAAATTGATAATACAAAACCGTTTTTGAATAAATGTTGCCAATTTAAAAACAAATATTTGTGAATTTATAAAAATATCTAAAAAAAAACAATTGGTTGTTTCCCATTGTATGAACTATACTATAAAATAGCGAACAGATGTTTAATGTTACATAATAAAAGTAATTAATTATTATCGATTATACTCCTAAACCTAACCGTTTCGTTCAATTTCCATAGCTACTTTTGTCAGTAAGATCTGCGGTTCTTCGACGTTTTTAAAGTTAACAAAGCAATAGGTATATCGTCTTTATATCCGGTCATGTTTATATTTTATTATTTAAATAACAAATATCCAAATATTGGACAGTGTATATTTAATAAATATATTTAAAATGATGTGTAAAATTGTATTGTATGAAAAAATGATTTCAAGAGTTATAGACATTTTTATTTATTTAAAATCTTGTTATACATAGTTGGTTTTGTTACCAAATTTGTTTTATAGTTCTTTTCGACACCAAGATTTCGGTTGGTTTTTTTAAAATATGTCTGGTTTTGGCTTTCTATTTGCCATACAGGTGGATTTGAAATAAACATTGAAATTATTACTAAAACTATTAAAAAATGTATTATATTATGTAGCGTCTGTAGTTATGAAATATATTTTATCAGATGGGTCATTTTGAAATCAACCCTAATTTAGTTATGTACTTGATGTTTGAAATTGTTAGGTTTTCGGTTCTCGACATGATAACAAGTTTTCAAGTTATCATTAAAGTCACGGTGTTTGATGCCGACGACCCGGGCCTTCGTGGTCTTATTTTTTTGTTTTCGCCATGTTATAACCAAGTATTAGACCATTTGAAGAATAATACCTTATTGGCCGGCTGGGAACCTCTGATACCGTGCGAAAACCCACGAGAGCTTACCAAAATGTTTACACACTACAAGTATTAGTCCACTGTGGCTTCTTGAAAAAATAAATTTGAGACAGACCCGTTTTTGAAAAATTGTGTATTTTTACCGGGTTTAAAAAAACAGCCTCCTCGCGTATAATGTCGTATACAGCTGCACTTACACGGTCGACCGCACGCCGTGTACACTTGAAGTATGGACGGCAAGTAAAAAAAAAAACAAATTAAACAAAAAAATATTTGACCGCGGTATGAACTATTATGATATTTTTGTACCGCTACCGAGATTGGCCACAAGCGGCGGTGTTGGCGCGTTGGCGATTCGGCCGGCGAGCACGAGTAGCAGCCCTTCCGTGGGCAGATCTGTCTTGATGACGACTCGTGCCGCGGTGTACGTGCGTTTCGATAGCGACGGTTGTTTTGCACGTGTTAAATAGACAATCGGCAACGGATTGCCCGACACACGGTGGTGATGTTTTGTGTTTGTATTGGGAAACACGATCAGATGAACAGGAGAACTGCTGAAATTCAAGTGAGTCACCCCCAAAACAATTAACATAACGGCTTGACTTTAAGTTCGTCACCGTCCCGTCGATGAAGTACGAGGTTTATCGGATTACATTTTGTAGCATATATGTCGAGAGAATTGACCGCGGTAAACTATGATAAACTATTGTTTATCATAGTTGTTATAGGTTTTTCATTTTTTTTTTAAATAATAAATATTTCAATAAAACGTTTAATAAAACTGTTTTTACAGGGATGTGCGCCTTGTTTATTATTTTCGTTGTTAGTGTATATTTAACATTCCCCTCCGGCCATCCATCGATTTAAAAACAATAATACGATTTTCATAATGTTACACTGAACATTTTATTTAACGAAATAAACATAAAACGGTGGGCTTCTGCGCAAAATTTAATAAAAGAAATCAGTGCTTAAATTATTTTGGAAGTTGAAGAAACCAAAGTAACCCCTAGTCGTTTTAGGTAAACTTATAAAAATAGGTATATACATTTAATATGTCTATATCTTGGTTCTTAAGAGACCGAACACACCTTAAAGTTTTGATTTTCAATAAGACTATATTTTTACTAAACTATCTTCATCACTTTTTCAATTTTGATCTTGTGATCGCCATATTTTTTACATAATTTTGAGAGAGTATTGATTTACTTGTCAAGTGGTCTAATATATTTTTGCCGAAAATTAACATAGCCTCTTTTAGATTTATAAAAATGTTTACTTTTAAATTACCAAGTTCACACAGCTTACAATTTTTAAGAATAAAAAATTGTAAGCATTAATTTATGCATTAATTTTATTTATGAATAATTTGCCAAATTCGTTGTACTAATTACTCTAATATATCAACCAATATTCATGCGTGTCACATCTCATGCCTTTAGAACTGCACTCTCTAAAGAGGCATTACTTTTGATAAAATTTCAACTTTCAGATTTTTTCCTTTAGTTGCACTATAAGATCTATCTTTGTGCCAAATTTCACGTTTCTACCTATACGGGAAGTGTTTTATAATTTTGATGATGAGTGAGTGAGTGAGTTAGTCAGTAACAAAAATTAAAACTTTGAAATTCTCCCCTTTTGAAAAGGCTCAATAATAAGGGCTTAATTTTTTACAGTAATCTAAGCTACTTAAACTTAATCTACGTTTTAAATTTCAAAAGGTTATCTTAAGAGGAAACAGAGATATGTGGGTTAGAAAAACAGAGTGAATTGGTTCGTGTAAAGATACACTAGCTTTGCTGCAACTTGGCTTGACGCACTGCCGTGCGCTTAAATTAAATTGCAGTTATCATGTGAATTCAATCTTTTTTTTTTGGCCAACTTGAGAAAATGTTTCTGCTCTTTTAATAACCCTAAATCCTCTGTTAATTCAATTGATTTAAATGTCAGTTAAGGAACGTTATTTCAAAGAACTAAAACCTAATCCGCGGCTTACAAGCTTTTTTATGTGTTTTCATCGATTCACCTCAAAGCGAAACGCTTTGAAAGAATAGCAGCGTTAGGAATAAATATTATTATGAATGTTTAAAACGTGTATAATAATTAAAAGTATTAATAAAATCGACCACCTAACTGAAAAAACAATTTCCGAGTACCAAAAATGGCTTTGATGTCTGAATTTTAGTTATTTTTCACAATAACATAAATATTTGACTTCGGTTTTTTTTAATGTTTTTTTTTGTCAAAAAATAAAATATACATATGAAGAACTATTTATTTCCCTCACCTTTTATACAATTTTTTATTATTATTGAAAGAATTCCCTTCTTTTCTTCTATGCTTTATCTCATAACCCAATCAATCCACACATCCCTTTCAATTTATTTACATCTATTTCTATTTACCTTTATCGTGTTGCTCCTTAGGTGACTCTTTTTAGTCTATACAACTGCTAACAACGTATTATTTCAGTAACAACTATAAATGTTTTGAATATTTCTGCGTACTAAAGAAATTATTTATTTTGATTTCCAAGACAAATTAAGTAAGGGTAGATAACTCGAGTGCGTATGTTTATAGTATTTTGTTTGTACAATAATGTGCACGGCGCTTTAGTTTAAGCAAATTATCACGATTCTAATGTTCCGTGGTAACGCTTAGACCCTTGGCACGCCTTTGAATATAAATCTGTGTTACGGTACCTTATGTACTGTTGTCTTATTCGCCAAAACAAATAAGTTGGTCGGTACGGAAACCACACAAATGAGTGTTCGAACCGTGCGGGCTAGGCACGTTTTCAAATCAAACCCGAAATTCCTCAGACCGGCTGTTAAAGAGAATACATTACACATACTTTTTTAGTAAACCTAATATCGCCCGACAGGTCGGTGCGTATCGTATTATGTATAATACTTCTGTGCTTAGTTATAATGGCCATGTTGTAGCAGTGTTTCAACAAAAGTGAATTTAGTAGTATTAAATTTTACATGTAAAAGCATAAATGTGCACTTAGCCATAGATGTTACCGTAACGCAATAGTGAACAATACTGAGCTAATATATAATGGCAAAACAAAAATGTAATTATTATATATTAAAAACCAATTTGCTGTATACTTAAAATTACCCATTAAAATTTTGAAATATCATAAAAACCTGTTTTTATCATTTTTACTGAAGCGGTTTATAAAAAAAAAAAATTGACGCACTAAACAAAGTTAGTATTTTATAATACAAATCCTGAAAAATGTATGGATTTTTGTTCTTGTTACATACAAAAAGTTCAAATTTCGTTGTACAGTGTAATCTATATATTTTTATCTCAGTTTCAGGAACTAAATATCACAAAACCAAATAGGCAACACAAATAAGTAAATGTGATTTGATTGTAGTCAATTGTAATTAATACAATAAACTGTCAGTCCAAAAGTCCATAACTATTATACTGGTTATTATGGTCAAGAGTGTAAACTCCGGTCCTATGGTCTTGGGGTAACATACCACAATTAGCTGTAGGTACTAAATTAACCCTTCGGCAACATTTGATTACAATACCTACTTGTTTAACATACAACTATATATAGTCAACCGAGAGTTTACATATTATTTGAAAACATTACTTTGGCGTGATTGTGTGATTTTGCGAACAGATGCTGTTGTTGCAAATGACTAAACAATCCAGATTGCTTTGATTGGAAACGTTGTACCTACACTGGTGCACCGTTGTGTTCTTTTGTCAAATTTGTTTTAGTGGATTCACTATTCACTATTCAGCTACACGAGAATTGGAACAATAATATTGTTCTATAGTTAATAATTATTATATGTCACTAAAAGCACTACTAAAGTACCACGGACCTCCTCTTGGCCGACACTTGAATGAAATCATACATTATAATGTTCATAGAGAACCAAGCTTGTATAACACTTAATGATAGGTACACAAGTTAAATCAACTTAAAAATAACAAATAGCTCAGAAAGAACTGATTAATAAGAGGGAGACACGTCCTCAGGACCGAAGTACCGTAGGTAGGTATAGTTTAGTTACTTTAGCCAAATATTCCAAAATATGAACTTTATATAATATATTATATAATTATGTATTTTAAGGTTTATTCTGGCAATGATATAGAACCATTTCTTGGCATGCATAAAAACCGCCAATAATAATTAGCTTATAGAACAATATTTGTATTTACTTAAATTACATTTTTATTTTTTATTTTTTAATATACAATCTGTACAATGTATAGCACAATAATAGTGTATGTGTTAATATAATACAAAACATGTGATACATTTGATAAAGAAGTCGGCCATTAGTGGCACTTAAATTTGATACTTGAATTAAATAAAAATAACATTTTTTATCATAGGGTAATATTATAACAATTAAGGTATAACTAATATATTTTTTTAAGGATTTTAAGAAAATTATACATGTATAACTTTTAAAATTATAATATTAAGGAAATGCTATTGAAATACTTATATTAAAATAATATGTTTCAATATAATATTATTAAAACATTTTTTAAGTATATTAATATGGTGTATGTTGAAGTGATAAAAGTAATATTTTTAATATTTTTTTTTTATTTTAAAACTTTTTATTTTAATTGTTTTTTTTCTTAACTATTGTTTAGTTATTACATTATATGAAATCTTAAAATTTCGATGTTTTCACGTTGTTCATTTTCATCGAAAATAAAGTATATACCACCAAATACCAAATATGCTGTATTAGGTTATAATTTCAATTGTTATAATATCACACTTACACCGGTGCCATTTTTATCGACACCAGAATTAACCAATATTTTAAACCCGATGCTTGCTACTCGCACTTTTTCAAACGACAACATTGTTAAATATAAACTTTTATAAGAGATACATTTTGTTTTTGACGTTTACTTTTACTAAAGTGAAAACGTACCTATTGCTGATTATCCATTTCGCGTTCCACTGCAAAGTTTTAAACGTTTCGATTCGTCAAACGTCTGTATCGGCCATAGAAACAACCGAACAGTTTCGCAATTTCCATGTACATCTAAAGGAAAATGTCATAAATTACACTTAAAGTTTGTTGATAGAGATTTTGGGCCATGAATCATCGGTTGCTCTCGAAACGTATTATTTGGACATCTACCAGAATATCGTCCCAAGTACAAAATAATACCATTATGTACAGGTTTTATTAAAATTGGAAAAATTAAATTCCGTTTTTACTTTATTGCGAATGTATGTTGTGTCGGGAAGTGTATTTTATTTAATCCAGTCGGGTCTCCTCGCCGAACACTAAGAGGGCGTTGTAACAAAAGGAAAAAAAACAGTATAAAAATATAAGTTATGACCGACTAAATGATTGTGTATTATAAAACTAACAATAATACGATTGTTATTACTATAATATGTGAATGTCTGGCATGCATTTGAAACAGTTTCCTAAGTAAACGAATTAATTTCCGAACGTGTATTAAAACGTCAGCCGAATGTGTATGGCATATAAATGAGAGTTACGCAAACGACTTAAGTGATAAAGTTTTTGCTTACATTATTGTTATTAAGTATGGAGACATTAAAAATAATATTCGACTTGTCGCGAACTGAAAACGTAATGCTCGTTTTACTTACTTCACGGCCAAGAAAAACGAACAAACTTTATAAATTGTGCAAAATAATCTTTATGTGCGGTAATAAATTAAACGAAATTGTACATTACACTTGAACTGCGAACCCATTAAATGCATCGAGCGTGAAATAAACATATTAAGACATCTTTAGCCCTGCTTGTTTTGATGTAATTCATTAAGTCACACGGTTGAGAAAAGTAGTGAGAAGCTGATAACACAAGGATACTTACCGTTAGCGCAATAATAAGTGTAATAATAATAATTGACCGTTACCGGCTAAACTTGTAGACTTACGTTACCGCCTTAAAGAAATTGTAATAAATTATGAGTTTTTTTTTTAACTGGGTGACAGGAACACTTGCTAATTATTGCTGGAAGTAGAGTTTTAGATTTTAATTAACCACATATATTAACATTTTTGTAGGCTTGAATTCAATCGTTGTACGGATATTATCTTATTAGAAAAACCCATAGCAAGACAATTACACTTGACGATAAACGATTGTTGACTAAGTACTACTTCACTGGATGTTATGTAAGGACCGTCGTAAAATGGATTAATTTTCTGGTAAGTCAATAGTCAACACTTTATGTAGATTTCAAAACTTTGCATTTTACTCGAAAAGCATACAGCGAACGTTAAAAGATACGTTGTAATATACAGTCTAATGATCGTTTAATTTATTTTCTGTTAAACTTTTCGCCAGAATCTTTTAGCCATTTTTTTTTTGTTGGTCAACCCAAAATTATTGTTTTATATCAGCTCCATTTGATCATAAAAAGAGCAAAATAAATATTTTAGAATTTCAATTTATTATACAAACGAATTATTAAACAAATTTAATGTTAAATCTTTAATTAAATACTCGAAATCTAATACTGGTTAGGTTATAATGGAAATTATTATTGTTTTGTATAGTTTAAAAAAATTGCAAAGCGTTAGCTTATGTAAACCGATATTTTGCTAATTAGGTCTATTAGTTAGATTATCGTATACCTATCAAAAGTGTGTGCTATGAAGCGATTTAGGCAATCACAAGGTGAATCTGTCCGATTAGAAAGTGTAATATTTAAATACCTAATATATATATTGTTTTCGTTTTATAAAATCAGGAATCAGGAGATAGTGGAGTAGCCAAGAACTTGTCAAGAACGGGTTGAGAGTTCCCAAAGAGTCAATTAAACTAATTTGAACGGTCGATTTCAAAGCAATAAACTAAAATTAATAATCCAAAAAAGGCGTTGTCATAAGAGTCTTCTAAAATAACTCATTATTAAGCTCAAATATATAACCCGGGATAAGACAAAGTATATTCAAGTCTAATTAGCAGTATCAATCGAAATATATTAAAAACGAAAGATTTTGATGAAAAACAACGCCAAGATCTAACCGATAATTTTATTTAATATTATTATGGAGCGATAATTAGTAGACATTCCTATTTGCATTGTACCAATTTTGCAATTTAAGAATATATCAGGTTGAATTTACTGTAATTTAATTTGTTAATTTAAGATCAATAATAACAGCTATGAATTTATAAAAATAAAACTCCAAAAGTTCCAACAAGTTATACTTCGTAGCTAGTCCCTATTAGTTAGTATTAATAACTATTCTTATCGCTATTATATCTCTTATCAGTTTATTTCACATTACTTTCCTTATAAGTCACCATTATAATTAAAATCCTATCTTTTATCAGCCTTTTGACATATTTCCTTATCAACCGACATTCGTATCAATCGTATAACTATTTTATCTTTTTCGGTTAATTAACTTGTATTTCTCCTTATTGTAAATCAATATTGGTGGAGTTGTGAAACTAAACCACGGTATAAATTCTAACAGCGTGAGCATCCTAAATGAAGTAATGTCTTCTTCTAATCGTCTTTAATAACCTTTGGATTCGCTAATGTCGTTATCAGTTCTGAGCTTCTAATGCATTTATAGAATCGAAATGTCGTGGGATTTATTGAACTTATTTGCTTGCGGTCGCAGTGAAAATTGTGCCAGCCGAAAGATACATTACATGAGGGGAATGAGACGACAGAGGCCTGGATCAACTGCCACTGGTACCACATGCTTGTATACACATTACCGTGGATTACTCGACGGTTGATGGTCGCGCGTATAGAAACTTTCGTCTGTATTAACTTAATACGTCTTATCTTCCCTGTGTGTGCAGTGTGTATACAAGTTTTTGTATACTTGAGTTTTTTCGGTCTCTTGCGACCTATAATTACGTTTCCGATCAATGATTTGATGTCTGTATAACGTATCATTTCGAAGCATAATATACACTTATATATTGAGAATATGTACAGTACAATATGTGCTCTACAGCCACTGGCACACAACGCTCTTTAATATATTTTGTACACCTTCAAAAAATCTTTGAACTAAATTTTAGAAGTGAGGTACTTAATTGTGTAGGTTATACATTTTTTTTACATTTCCTAATTACGAACTATCCACAAATTGTATTAACTATTAATAAGCTATTAAATAAAAAAAATCCTATTTAAAATTAGTAACTTCATGTTTTTGTAATCATTTCGAAAATTAGTAATTATTGATTTATAGTACCAATAGTGAAGAGGGGGAGGGGCGAGGAAATATTATCCAGATAATCCAAACATCTGTATTTGTTATGTAAATACAATCCAAATTATCTAGATTTTATGACGATTTTTCGAAAAACACATTTGTTTTATTCAGCAACTAGTGTTTATATACCTAGTAGCAAGTGCAAACATTTTTCTGACAACGGCTACAAAATAAAAGAAAATCATTTTAATTTTTCAACAAGCTTAGAAGTAGCCACTGAAATAGGTACTTCTAGTGAACATCTAATTTTTACAAGTTTAGCTAATAAATCTTTTGCACCTGTCCAAACCACAAACACGAATAGGTTGGTAATATATACAAATTAAATGGTGCATTATAATATTTTGCTTTAAGTTATAAGACATTTTTGCCATCACCCAAAGAGCAAACAGCACCTTATACCTATACCGGTATACAATTATTGCGAATACGGGTGTTAGATACACGACCGTTTGACGATGTGCCCATTATTGATTTGTGTGATTGAAAAAAAGAAACTACTACGCGGTGCTCAAAAATCAACACACTTGAGCCTCAAGGTGCCTTTGAAAGTGTTCAATATTATGTTAATAATATTCATAACAAGTGGCAAGCTTCAAGCGCAGGGCGATGTCGTGAAGCAAATAACTAATTTATATATACTACTCAAAATATAATACTATTCACAAGCGCCTTATATTTCTTAACACAGTAGGTACTGAATACAATTAGCGTCATTTGTGAAATTAAATTTAAGCATATATTAACTATAAGTTAGCTATTTTAAAATGTTTTTTTATTGGCAATTTCGTAAAATACATAAATTCAACGTTCCAGTCATAATCTTAAAACGGCTATGGTTGTTAATTATTAACACTTTAGGGTCGGTGGAATAATATTACAAACTAAAGTAAACATCTGTTCTTTTTACTTAGGTCTTATCGCCAGCTGCCGGCGTTGTCTTGGAACAACAGCAGTAGATAGTATCATTAACAGAGCGTAGACTCTACCACCCATACCAATCTCTAAGCATAATGTACGTACATTAATGTAAAAAAAAACACTACCTATATATGGTAGGCCTACCACGTACATTTTTTATGTTGCAAATTTTTTTGTGAAATTTATTTTTGTTTGCTTAGGATAGGAAAATACTTTAGATTTAACAACCAACTTATAATTTTCTTAGATAATTTAACTTTTAAGCAATAACATATTAGATATTCTATTTGTTCACTATTCATATTTTAAAGAAAATATTCTGGCGGTGGTCAATATTGACAGTTATATATTCATAAAAATAAAATGTACGCTACCTGCGCTTTACGTACAATAAACTTAACGTTTACTTAAAGTTACTTGCCTAATAAAAATTACACATTTTTTTTTTAAGTAATAAAAAGTGAATAACTCAAGTTTCACAATAGTTATTGGATAATGTCCGTTGAAGTATAAATTCTGAGTGCTGAGTGGAGACGCTTCGGAAAAACGACATAGAGCAATATTTTTGTCTTTGACCAAAGTACGGACGGCCGTTTACCGATCATTAATTTCCGTACAAGCCATTCTTGTACGCTGACAGTTCGGTGGCACAATGCACAAGGTAATCTGGCGGATCTCATTAGTTAGGATAAAAAATAGTCAAACCCTTACAGGAAGTGCCATCGGAATGGCCAAAAGAACATATTACTCACCTCCGGTGTCGTTTCTCGTTACATTATTATATTACAATCGGACCGCCTTTACGGTGTTGGCTTTGCATGGATTTTCGGTCTGCATACCGTGTATATACATCAATACGATTTTGATTTATTATTATATATATTTTTTTTTATTCTTTATGGTAGCCAAGGAAATGAGCGGACATAAAACGATGTCTCGGACGGTTTTGTGTGTGTGTGCACTGCTGTAACTGGATCGGTGCGGCATGGCAGTCAATCCCAGTCGTGAAGGCTTGGGCGAGCTAGTGAGAGAGAAGAGAAACTAATAATAATAATAATAATAATAATAAAAAATAGGGAAAAAAGGGAAACTACCGGATATAAAATCGAGTTTACCACCCCCTCCCCCCTCCCAGCACGACTCGAAAGAGCACTACACACTCATTGTTGTAAGATATAAATTCGAATCCGTTACGTGGCGAGATAGCGCCGCCGAGACGAAACGCGTCGTTCGATTTGCCCGTGAAATATCGTTGCCATCCGTCTTAAGTCCTGTGATAAATGATGTTCCTGGCGATGCGGCACGCGCCCTTACCGTGTCCCAGATTCATTTTTTTTTATTTCTCTTATAACGCGTTATTTGTCTTAATTTATTTTCGAAATCCTGCGGTTCCAACGAACTCGCGTTATGTTGTACTACAATAATAATATTATTGTACTGTTTGTAACGCTGTATCGACTATTATACCCACATAGCCACGGCCGAGTACGTGCCCACGTCGTTTATGTGTGCCTCCACATTAATGTGTATTATTGTGTCTTGAGCTTTGCCATTGTGTCGAAAAATATTTAAAATAGTCGTTCTTGGTATGGCGTCAATCAACAACCTCTTGTTGAGCTAAGTGGTTATAAACACTCAACAAGTGCTGTAAGCGAAACCAGCATCTAAACGATTGCACGCTATAACGCTGATACACAATCGTGATAAGGGCGTGTTTAATCCTTTGGCAAAAGTCGGACAAGAATAATTATTGAAAACAAAAAACATAACAATTTTTTGTTGAATACTCTGAAAAGTCTGCTCAGAGTGTAGTAAAATACCTGAAAAACTCATTTGTGTCTAGATACCTACAGATAATAGAAATCGATACGTTATTATGAGCAGAGGGGTAAAATATATTCATATAATATATTCATACAAAATCTTGCTCTATTCATATTATATCAAAATGCACCTGTACCAAATATATTATGTAATTTGATGGGATTAGTGTTTCTCAATAAAAACACTTGGTCGTTGGGCAAACTTGTATACTTATT